CTTTTAAATCACTTACAAGCAGGGATAGCTTCACTGGCATTTTTGAGACAATATTTTAGTTTTTTATATACATACATCTATATATAAAAGAATTGGTTCATTAAGATTTTTAGCATGAAGTCAATTCTCTAGAATCATACCCATGACTGAAAAAAAGTATAAGAATATTCTCTCTTACTTTGTCAACAAACCCGATGTCTTGCACCATTCCCAGCTCCTCCGTTGTGGGTTTTGCTACAGATACAATGAATACATTGACTCCAAATTCTCTGGCCACTATGCCGGCTTCTTCTAAATCATCTGAGGGCCAACCATCTAGGAATACTACGATGATCTTGGGAATTCCTTTGCGTGCTCCGTTTTCTAGAGAGAAGAATTTCTGAGCTGTGTGCTTCAAAGCTTTCCCTAGTTTTGAAAAGAAAAAGAATATGAAGAAATATTGCAATTACATTTTAATACCAGTTTCCTAATGTCGTGGTTTAACCCGGCTGGCAACTAAGCACCACGCAGCCGCTCGCTCACTCCCCCCTCCCTCAGTGGGATGGGGGAGAGAATCGGGAAGGAAGAAAAAAGTTAGAGCCATGGGCTGAAATAAAGACAGTTTAATAAGAGAAAATAATACTAATAGTAATAATGAGAATGATAAGAGAATATACAGAATATACAAAATGAATGATGACAATGCAATTGCTCCCCACCCGCTGGCCGATGCCCAGTCCATCCTGAGCAGCGATCACTCCCCAAGCCGGGATCCGTCCCTGAGCAGCGATCACTCTCCCCGCAACCGACCAACCGACTAACCACCTGCCCCCCCCGAGCATGACGTTATATGGTATGGAATAGTTCTTTGGTCAGTTTGGGTTAGCTCTCCTAGCTGTGCTGTACTGCCAGCTTGTTATGCACCCGGCTGAACAGGAGAAGCTCAAAAAGTCCTTGAGTAGTCTGAGCACTACTTGGCAACAACTAAAAACGTCAGTGTGTTATCAACATTCTTGTAGTACTAAATCCAAAACACAGCACTGTGCTAGCTTCTATGAAGAAAATTAGCCAAAACCAGGACACTATATGAAATTGTGCTGGATTACAGGTCTAACCCTGTGTAAAAGCAAAATAGTGTCCCAGAAAATTTGATAATAATGAAGCTTCAGCAACCTATAAGTTAAAAACCAAAAAAACCTCAAAAAAAACCCCAAACCCACACCACTCCCACAAAATAAAAAACAACAGCCAAGATGTAAAGCTGAGGAAGAACCACTGATGTTTTTTTACCCACAAAGTCTAGTTTCAAACTAGGAAGTAGATATATCAGTGCCTGCCAAACCAATTGAAAGACAGAAAGCTGAGTATCTACTTACATTTAGCTTGTGAAATGCAACATATTTGGAATGCTCAGTTTCCTCATTTGGCAAACATCTCTTCACAACCACTTACTACTAATTCCAAGATTATTCTAACCCTTTCATTAGCAACTCAACAAGAATGAAATGCTAAGCCTTTTAGATATGAATTTGTCTCAAGATGTCACCCTGTTACTAGTGAAAAGTTGATTGCTGTTTAAATGCAGGAAGAGGTATTTGCACTTCTACTCTAATTAAATGTATAATAAGCAGCCCTAACTTCTGGAAATGAAATGGAAGATGTGGAAAAATGTTGAACCTAAGATGAGCATGGCATTTAAAACACTTTCTTGCCTAACTGAATCATAAGAACTTCAATGTGCATAAACATACATACGCATACTTTATATATATTAAAATAAATATGTATTTGGAAATGTAAATAAATAATTTCTATTTGCATGGAGGTATGAACTCACCTGTATTAGAATTGCCTCCTCTGAACCCTAGTTCCTTTATGGCAAACAAAACTTCTTTCGCAGCAGTGAAGTTCTTTAGATAGAATTCAATTTTTGGATGTTCACTGTGGAAATATAAACCAGAGTAATAAAGCATGCAGTTCATTTTTCATAGCGCTATGGCATTAACAAGCTAAAATACACTTTGAATAACTTTGTTCTTGGTAAAATACACTCCTCTTTACATTTTTAATTCCTAAAACAGAAGTATGATCCTCTCTAGCAATTCTCACAGTCCTTAGCAAGAGAATTATTTAGCTGGGTGGGTAAATTAAGAATAATTTGATTCCTACACTTATCAAGCAGCTTAGAACACTAGGTTGAAAATATATACAGGAAAAAATTTAGAACACGCCAGATGTTAAACTAAATGCATTTGTGTAATTGAAAATTGGCAGGTTTTCCACTATTTGTATGAGAAATACCTTGTTTTTAAAAAATTCCTGTGAAATGCAAACAGTTTCAGTTATTTAATTTGAGAAGTTTTAAGGTGTGTTAGCTACTGACTCCATTTAAGAAATCAAAGGTTTTAGCTACACTAAGTTTCCAGATTTCACTTTTGATTTATAGTAGGAAACAAATCTGTTGTGCGAAGAGTAGAAAGAAAAACTCTCGCAGGTCATTTATGCTGCTATGCATAAATGGCCTGATCCTGCATCAGAATCACTAGAATTAACCTGTGGTGCCAAGCAGAGTGGGTCTGCAGTGCTGAATCTCATGGCAGATTAACTGTTAAAATGGTACATTTTGAGATATAAAGATTATTGCTTGTAAGATTCATTTCTAATGAAGAGTTTAATGTTGAAGGTGCTGAACTGATCACTCAGTTTCTCCAGGAACTGTTCTTCACGTTATAGTATTTAAACCCAGGACAGCAAGAGTGATGCTCATTTCCCCTAGATTTTGATGTCTACAGTGGACAGACTGGATTTTTCAGGATGGAATTCATCACATCCTAAAAGAGGCATCTGAAGGTGTTCAGATGGTTTGTGCTGTGAAGGTGGTCATTCTAGTGACTACAAAAGCCAGCCTACGTCACTAAATCAGATGCAGCCATCTACTCCACAGTTGTCTAAAGGCAGGGGAGAGGAACAGACTTTAAGGATGAAAGATAGGATAGAGAAACCCTGTGTTAATCTAACAGATATTTCATCTTCTTAGAATAAGAGAGTTAAAGGCTTCTTTCTGCTTCCTTTATTCCAGAAGCAATAGCCAAAGTGGTTAAGCCTTGGAAAACTGCTAGTGCTGAGCACTAGGAAACTCAGCTGTGGCTCCAAAAAAACTTTTACCAATGTGTTGGATGTTGCAGTGGCTTTCAGACTGTTTTGCAGCCTGTGAACATACATAGAGGTATGAATAGTCTTAACATTAAAAAAAGTGACCATTTACAATTTGAAAATGTTAGCTGCAGTTACCTACAGGTTGGCAAGAGCATTTTTTTGTTTTCTACATGTAAATAGCCATTTGTGACAATTCTCTCTCTATCATCTTTAATGAGCCATCTCTCCTTTGCAGAGTGCTTTCTGCTGTTTTACTAAGATGACCTACAAAACTGTCAGTGGCAGAGGGGCTGTGAAAAGTCTGGCTGCTCTCTCTATCCAAATATCAACCATCATGGCGCAGAAGATGACCAAATTTTTCACACCTTCTCACACGGAGATAGTGTAGGACAGAGCAAACAGTACTACGGCCAGAAAGAGTTTGCTTTCTCTTGTTATTCATCTGCCACTACTGAGTTCTGCAAAATAGGGAGTGATATATCGGTTGATTTCTCTTATTAAGCACTCCATTAGATTTTGTATAGATCTGTTCTCACCTGGCTTGTACAACTCCAACATGAGGCCCTTCTGTTCCAATTCCCAACATCACAGCTACTTTTCCAACAAAGTTTTTTTGCAAATTAAATCTACGTTGGCCAATGTTGTAACTTCCATCAATGAGAAATGCAATATCAGCTTTACAGTCTGTGAACATTCAAAATAATCAGACTTACTTAACACCAAATAAACATTAGGATTTTGCTTTGTAAAAGTTAAATCTGTGGGTTCCTACCTTTGTTTCCAGCCTTTTTATCAAGTGGCTTCTTAGGTCTTTTACCTTCAGTGAAGGAAACAGCATGGATCATTTAAGAACAAGATGAACAGCCAAAAGTGAACCAGAAAAAGCTCAGACTCCAAGAAGTACATTGCAATCTATCTGCAGTAAGAACTGTCAATTGGTTTAATTATGAAACTTGCACTACTACTGGTTTGCTTCTTAGAGAATATTTTCTTTTTCAAATGGAACAGTTTAGCCTGCCTCGCTGATTACTGAAATACAGCAAGCTGGGTGGGTTGGTGTAGCTTACCATCCCAAGTGCTACCTTTTCTCAGTTAACAATCCTGCTGTACAATTTAATGGTTTGGAAGCAAACTGTGACTAGAACTGTCTATTCACAAACAAGTTCCAACTCCAGTATTTATACACCACTAACCTTCATAAAAACTGATCTAGCCTTTTATTGGCAGCATTTCTGTGGACAAATTCACGTCTAAATTTCTGCTATGTACGTCCTGACAGCACTCAGCTGTTGAGTAGTTGTGTAAGAAGGAATGCATTGTCTGTCTTCTCTGTCACTTAATAGAAATGAATATTACATGAGCTCTTTCCTTCCTTTCTGTTATTCACATTACTTTCCTAAATTCATTCAAGCTTTTCTTCATTTACATGAACACTGCTGAAGTCAGAATCAGTCTCCTCGACTACAAATGATTCCTCTTTTTGCTGATGAAAGATATACCGCAAAACCAGATATTGTATGTATTTTCGTCTTTAAAAATAAGCTAATCCTATGAAAACACAGCATTTTAGTCAGGGATTCACGCATTGTAGCACATCTTATCACAAGCCGCTTCCCTTGTTGCAGAGATCTCATACCTGTAGAAGGACGCGCTGTTGATACTGATCGCCCAACTGCTTCAAGCACTGTGTTCTTGATACCTGTTCAAATTGGAAGAATAAATTTACTGTATTTCAATGTATTTAGATGAAATTACAAGTGCTTGAAGAGTGCTATATTTCCAATAATGTTTCATCATCTGCCATTAGCTACTCTTGGAGTAGGACACAGGCCTAGGCAACCTTTGGTGCAATCCAGCATTGCACTCGTCGTTTTACAGATAATAAACGTCTCCTTTGAGCATATGAAACAACAGCAGCTGATTACTAATTACAGCGTATCTAATTGATGAGACTTTTTGAACTATAGCAGACATTATTTCTAGCAGATACATTCAGGGCTTGATCTGGAGAGGTGGATTTCACTTACAACCAAAAGCACCTGTAATTCCAAGTTCTTAGCTATTCATTAGCAAAGGACTCTGCTCAAGAATTACTAGTATCTTAGAGACAGCAGGTTGAATTTTAGCTATGTAAACAGTAAGAATGCATTAGAGAGATTTGTGTCCCAAACTTGGAAAGAATATACCACTTTAATGTTTTTGAAACCACAACATATATCACCAGCAGGCTTCTTTATATGTTTTTATGAGGGTGGTTTAACCTCACCCAAGGGGCAGGGCATGATAACTGGTTTGCAATCAGGCACAGCATCTCAACTATGTGGACAAAAACTTCTGAAAAACCCACTATGTCACATTGTAGATTAATGACCACATCACATCTAAGTTGACATTATTCCTGGTTTTGGGGGGTCAGTGTTCCATTTGCAGGGAACACTGCACAAGCTCTTTGAAGGGCCTGACAAGTGCTACTGCCTGCATAAAGGCAGGCAGGAGGAGAGAAGGGATAAAACTCTATGGCTGGAAGCAGATGGAGGACAGGACTGCAACAGCAGGATCAAAGCACTGACTTACTTAAATAGCTTAAACTGTCAACTGCCTGCTTCCATGTCATTATATTGTAAACAACTGTGATCCATTTTATGTATCGGCTTCTGCTACAGACTTGCTAGTCTAGCTGGAAGAGCATTTTAAGGAAATTGTGGAAAAATGAAAGTAAAATGAGTTAGAAGTGAAAAGTTTTCTTACTACACTTCAGATAGCAATCATGTTTGTTTACGCATACAGGAGCATTGAAGCGGTTTCCTAGATGTCTGTTAATGTTTCAGATATAGTTTGCAAAATAATAAGTGTGATCCACCTACGAGTCACTGAGAAAGACGAAGCCCATCTAGTGAGCACCTGAGACTGGATCCCATTGGCATTTACAGCAGGGTAGTTTTCCTGTCCTGGGAGAGTCTGTACCCTTACAGCTCCTCCTGCATTGGTGATCACTCCCCTGAGGTACAAAAAGAGTTGCTGTAAATCAGACATTTTAATCACAAGAAAATGCAATACAATTATACCATCATTAGTACATTGAACACTAGCCTCCTGAGAAAGATGCAGGCAGCTCTGTTCAGGCTAAAACAAGATATAAATTGCTGAAAAGACTTTTAAAAGAAACTATTCCGCAGAGCACCACACAAACTTAGAAAAAAAAAAAAAAGGTCAGGAAATTCTAAAATTCTAGCAGTGTTCAGACTGACACAGAAGAGTGATGTTTCAATGACCTATCAATTTCTAAAGGAAAGAGCTCCAGCAAAACGTATTTGAGCTCATTATGCCTCATGAATATTTGTGACTGAAACAAAATTCAGAATACTTAACTAAAAAATGACCAAAGCTAGGAAAATTGGGAAGAAAAATTGGTGTTTATAGTGGTAATGGATATGTTGGAGATCTTGTTATGCAACTACAGACTGAAGTCAGAAATGATAGACATTATTGATAGCAGCCATCAGATTACTGATAGTTATAAGAACAGAGCCTAAAAATTATTTATTATCATTATTATTATTATTATTATTATTCAGCTGTAGTAAACATTAAATGTGAAATCTGAAATGAATGAAATAAATAAATGCAAGTTACTAACTCAATCCATGTAAGATTCCAGATTGCTTTCAGTCTGGACTTGGAAATAGCATATCAAGAGTAGATGCAATTCAACTGTGTAATTTTCACTGACAGAGAGGTAGAGTAACATACCAAATTGCAGCTACAGAATTTGGAATACTTAGGTAATAGTTAACAAATCATAGCTATCTTCATTAGTTTAAGCATACTGCAATGCATCTTTAATATACAGGTTATAATGGATTAATGAAAAAAAAAATCAGAACAAATACCAAGTAGCTTGCTGATTAAAATATCTTATAAAGTCATATTCAGTATTATGAGACTATTATAGTCCTTAATGCCTTGCTAGAAGGGTCAGCACAGAAACATAGAAGCGACAAGAAAACTTACAGCAAAATCTATAGAGGAAGTTTTCCAAACTGAGAAGAGATTTGAATGTAAAACACCCAGTCCCTAGACAAGTTTTTAGAGGTCATAGTCTAGTTCTTAGAGAAGGACACTGTCATTTTCCCTGTTGTGTTTCATTTCATGATTCAACAGACAGGTTTTGAGATTGCCTACCAGGTCTGTCCTGCCATCTGAGACAAATAAAGGAATAGCTAGGTTGAAAAGCTTGCTGATGCTTATGGGCTGAGGATCATGTGAATACCCAGCAGCACAACAGATTTATGCATTTAGGAAACTTGAGGGTTAAGAGCAGCCCAGAGAGAACTTCACTGTTTTTGCAGGAAGAGAGGCTGTTGTGGTTGGTTGTACTTGGATACCTCTAGTGACAAGAATAGGCACCAGAACTCTTCAAATCTCTTTTTATGTGCTACTGAAAGAACGGTTATTATTTTTAGAGGCCAAAATCAACGTTGAGCTTCTCTACAAGGGAGTCAAAGCTTGATGCTTTGTAGTACTTGGGCCTGTACAGTACTGTGGGAGACAAATAAGCATTTCAAATCTATTTAAACACAGCAATGTGCGCCTTTGTGTTTATTTTTCTTATCTGTTTGGCTTCTTGCTTGAAAAGAGACACCAGTCTAATCTTATTTAAAACATTGTGAAGATAGAATAATCATGACCAGAGTTTAGAAAATCTTGCATATATTTCTGCTAATATGAGCTCTGTGTATCTGTGGCAAAGGCAGCTTCCACACAAATCTCCTTGTGGGCTGCTGTTAAAATACATTTCTCACTTGTAGATATGATTTGAATTTCTAAATTGAACTGTGGTTATATATATATTTAATTTTTGTAGCTTAGAAGATTATGATAGTAGTTTTAAAATATTTTTCAAAATATTTTCTCATCCAGGCATACTATATACAGTATATAGGCAGAGCAGCTTTAGTAAGGTTACCCTGAATGACTTTAAAATCAGATTGTAAAGTTGGCAAATACAAACAGCACTTTACAGTTCTTTTAAAAAGAGTGAGAGAAAAATCAGACCAGAGCCTCTAACTGTTGTTTTTAAAGGACAGGAAAATTCAGTAAGTCAAAATTATCTTTGGGAAAAATAAAACATTAAAGTATTTAGAATGTTTCAGTCTAATTAGAACATAATTTTCTTCTTCAGTACCTGGTTCTCTTTGGCATTCAAGTCTTCGCTAGCATGTCAGTCTTATCCAATAAGGAAATACATGTCAGAAATAGACTATATTGTGTTTAATTGGAACAGTTCCTATTTTAAGTTTATATTTGCAGTTTTAGTGAAGCTACTTTGGGCTTGCATCAGCATACCTGATCTATGGCCAATTTAGCTCCCAAGAAGAGCTTACTATCTCTTCCCCCTTCCTTTGTTGTGGACTTGTAACTTTGAGTGCTGGCTGAATTAAACTCAAGAACACACTCATACTGAAAGCTCAGCTTAAGAAGTATTCCCAGAAGCAGTGATTTCAGCTTACTTTAGTCACATTTTTGTCTGTATGGTTCCATTTTGTCTATTAGTCTTTTCATTTTGATTGTCATGGAATCATTTGGGGCAGGGGGGAATCTAGATAGTCTCCCTTGAATGTGGAAGCTTTCCACTGAAACCAGAATAGGTTTATTTGCTCCTTATCTATTTATTGAAAACATTTGATTCTGTATTTCATCGCAAGTCAAAACAGTAGACTGCCTTCTGAAGATACACTGTTTCCATATAACAGCTCTGCTACTTCTAATGCAAATGGGGGCTAATATTAGATGTGAATATAACATGAACTGTATCTTTATGAAAGTCATTCCTCTTTTCTTGCCATTTTGTTCTGTAGGTAAATTAACAACTGTTTAAGCCTTCTTTTGCAATCTCTTTAGTTTTACTTGGGATGTTTCTTCCAGCAAGTTTACTCAAAGTACATGCTCATATATGCTGAAGTGGAATAAACCATATTGTCAGTCTGCCTTTGTTTTCTGAATCAGACTGGCAAATTTCTTTCCACAATCATTTATGATTGACTTTAAAAGTGAGATTCATCCTGTGTAGGTCCACAGTGGTATTTAAACAGTGAAGAAGTACCTATGCATTTCCTCAGAACGTTTCATGTCATTACAGTCTGCTTTGATTTTCACCAGCCTTCTCTGCACCTGTGTGACTGACTTGCATGCCATGGCTGTTTTGATTAAACTGGAACTCTGCTGATTTTTCTGGAACAGCTTTCACTTCTTTACTCACTATGTTTCGTGCTACTGCCAGAGCTGCTTGACAGCAACTTTGTATAAAAGCTGTCAGTCTGTTCTCTTGCCTAGCTTCACTGTTAATAACAGATCATAATTTATACCTAAATGGTATTTTTCATTCAAAAAGGCACACAAATTAAATAGAAAAGCAGATACATGAGGAAGTAATCCAGTACCTCACTGCACAGTAGCTCATGGAAGAAAGTATACTGGCCAAGAGCAGCAGAAGATATGGAAAGGTCTTATAAAATACAGGAATTTCAACTGAAACATACTTAAAAATCTGAATTGAGGTAAATGAGCAGATGAGACTGAAACTTTTTAGAGCCTCATGCACCTCCTCAAAGTAAAGTGCAACAACTGTTTACCTGCACTCTCAGAGAAAGAGATGCAGGACTGGCTTGCCTTTGCTGAATTTTGAATGTATTTTTCAAGGAGCCTGCACATCAAAATTGATGCCTAGACCACATAGAGACTCTTCCAGCCATGGGAGATGACCCTTACAGATTAACTGCAGATCTTAGCAGTTGAAAGCTGAAATGCCATTTCCTGTTAAACACAAGAGGAAATACAAGATTTTCACCTGGTGGGAAAAAAAAAACCCAACTTTTTCCTCTGGATAAATTTTTCATTGTTTCTTAGAATTTGTAAGAGTGGTGACAGATTTGGCCAATGGAGAGAGCACTTTCTGCAGCATGCTTATAAGCTATTGCCTTGTTTTAAAATGTTGGGAGATGAAGCCAAGTAGCTATTCCCTTAAACTGGCTTAGTTCTAAGTGTAAGGTAAGGATCAGCTAGATAAAGTTGTCTAAACATAATAAAACATTATCAGTGAAAGAGACAAACATTGTTTTTTTTCCCTTGAGGTATAATAGTGTTAAAGAGTGAAGAGAAATAGATTGGAACATATTCTAGGTGTTCTATGCCAAGGAAAGGTCCCAAGCCCAAGGGCAGCAGCACTGCTGCTGAAGTACATATTGAGCTAAATTAGCCTTGCGGTTGAGGAAAAATGTTTGCTCAGAAACTCACACGGTATGTTTTTATGCTAATCATTATGCTCATCATATACGTCTATAGATAGGCTATCTGCTTTTCAGCAGAAGGGAGACAGTAGAAAGACGAAGGCCTGCCCTCCTACCCAAAAGCATAATTTTGACCCGAGAGTTCCTGTTCCTATTGCTAACAGAGCGCTGGCTGTTGATAGCAGCCAATTTTCATCCCTGGATGAAAATTGTTATCTTCAGGGACTTTGGAAAAGACAGTGAATTCCCATCTTTCCTTCCTACTATCAGCAACTTCATCAAACTCCTTCCACATCATCTGCCTTTCTCCATGGCTCCAAGGAGCATCCCCCCCTTCGCCAAACTGCAGTCTCCTACTGCTGCCCAATTGCCTTCAGTCACCGATACGGAACTGCTCAAGGTCTCACGCCAGCATCTGCTGACCCCCTATGTTGTGCTCCTTCTGTCTCCCCTGCACTCCTGTTGCTTTTGGCAGGAAAGAAGGCTCAGCAGCACAAGCAGGCACTATACCAAAGTTTCCCAGGGGATCTACAGCTGCTCAGAAATCCCTCTGGCCAGACAGCCTTTTTGTCAATATTCTCTCAGCAAATGCTGCAGCAGCTCAGGGGCCATCATCTGTGTTGGTGGTCACTTTGTGGCCAGCTTGGTAACACCATGATATGCTTTTGTTACACTTGAGTTCCAGGCCCCCAATGTTTAATTAGAAATGGTTCCACCCTGTGACCAATTAGGAAGGTTAAGAAAAATTTTACATGCCTATTTAGCATCTAAACACTGGGCTAGGTCTCCATTTAGTGGAACTGGCACTAGAACAGAACTGCACAAGCTGAGAACCTAGTCCTTCATTTGACCTTCTGATTATTAATCCAATTAATCACTCAGTGGTAGATTTAAATCAGTTCTTCATGCCTACATAGTGCCAGCCTGGTAGGAGGTTCTCCATTCTTCCCCTGATAAATAAACCTTTTATTCTTCTGCCCAGAAAAAGAACAATATTAAATAAATATTCTGTTCCCTGAGAGTAATTGCACATAAAATAAGGAAAGAAAAAGCCAAATGTAACAAAGTAAAACAGGCAGAAAGCTTATTCATCCGTAGTATACCGAATTATTCAGAGCTGAATTCTGCTAAATTCTTTACATGCATTATATAGTATTTTCTTGTGCCTGGCAGTAATGGAACTACTCATAGAAATCAGCATTATTTGGTTTATGTAAAATTAAGGAATCAGGCCTCAGTTTGGACCTGGCACACAAACTGGAGTGTATGTGGAGGGGGGAATTGACCCACACTCACACAAGAATTTTCAGTTTAAAAAAAATAAGCAAGCACTGCTCCCAAGACTGACACTTCCTGAAATGGTGGATAGCTGTCTGATGGTGCTTTCTGTAAGATAATAGCAAGAGTCATTGTAGTGGCACAGGCCTGGTACTCAACAGTACTTAAGGTATCGAGCTATGTTGCACTCACCATGCAATGTAATGTAGGACATGCCTAGTTTTAAACTAGATGTGGTTGTTTCAGTTATTTGGAAGAAATTTACAAGATGTTCAAAGCATGTATTTAGTTACATCATGGTAACAGCAAATTATAGTGATTACCTGTTAGCAATATCTCATTGCTGTCAAAGTAATTCCAAGATCATTTACCCATTGCAACACAGTGACAAGGAGCAAGTATTTTGCATGTTCCTGTTGGATTTTGCAGCCTGCACTAAAGTTTGTTGAGACCTAAACAGCTATCGCCTCTCCTCCATTCATCAATCCTTTTTTACCAGGACTAGTATTTTTTGCTGCAACTGTTAGCAGCCATATCGACAAAACATTCTCATGTAGCAAATTCTCGTCTGAGTATGAAAGCCCCCAACTTAAAGGAAGTCTTCAAAAACCAGCTGTTCTCCTAAACAGGATATTTACACCTATATTCAGCTTTTTCAAAATTCTTTACTACAGTCTATCAAATTCAGAAGACTTGAACACTGTTAATTTACATCCTTACTGGAAGGCACAGATTAGAAGGGTGACGATATTTTAATCCCTTCATTGCTGTTAGAGCCCTCATTGTTCCTGCAGTGTCTGTGGAAACCAATGAGTAGATGCAGCTTTTACAAACAGGGTGCACATTTCATAAATAGTATCATTTATAGACACTTACTATGGAAAAATATGGATTTTTCTATACTCCTGTGCTTCTGGGATGGAGAACAATACTACACATAGTTTATAAGGTACAGACTTCAGTGAAGAGCTAAGTGATGTATAAATGCCTGTGTTTTATTATCTAGGAGAAGACTATGCAAATCTTGAAAAGAAGTTTGTGTCTTCCATTTCTTGTACCTCCTCCTTTTACAAAAGTTATTCCCCAGTTGAGACAGAACCAAGCTCCAACAGCTTTCTTGGTGGGACTTCTCTAACTGTGAGTCACCACTGGCATGGGAGGCTCAAGACCACTGCCTAGTTCAACTGGTTAGGAACTTCTGTGACTTTTCAAAACACTCAAGTCTTCAATCCCTTTGTAAAAAGCGTCTTGATAGCAAGAGCTTTTTTTCTGCTTTAAGTAAAGACAACTTTGGCAACTAGTAAAGAAAAGGAATGTTAAAATAAATGGCTACATCACCAAGTACAAACATTGTCATAGAAAAAAAGACAATGGGAAGAAGTCTCAGTTTTCCTGTATAACCTTTTTTTTTTAAAAAAAAAAAAACAACAAAAAACACAAAACCAAAAACCCCAGACATTTGATCCAGACATTCTTTCACAAACTTTTTGTAGATGCCTAAACTAGGAAAAGCAAAGAACTGAAGTTTAACTTTTTTATACACTCATGAAGACACTTAAAGCACACTAAATGGAAGCATTAATTCTTTTACAGAAGGATTGAAAGGAAGCCTGTTCTAGCAATAACACACACGGAGACATGTACTTACCTTTGAAACCAACTCTTAAGCTTTAAAAACAAATACAGACCCCCACGATACCCGACTAATTTATACTACATGCATGATGAAGTCTTACTTTTAAATATATTCACAATATTTAATTATAGAATTCTCATAAATTAGGAAAAATTTGGGCAGGATGACCTAGTCTGTACTTTTGCTTCAAGATGGGATCAGTTATAGTTATCTAGTTATTCTAGCCAGATGGATGTCTATCTGGTTTTGGAAACTGCACTGTCTATTGCAGTTCCTATAACATCCCAGGCCACCTAGTCTCTGTCCTTATTGTTAGGCTTTTCTTCATGCTAGTCCAAATTTCTGTTGCCAAAATGTCAGTTCTATCTTAAGAGTCATAGCACCTACAAAGTGGTAGGAAGCGTATTGCAAAAGGTCTAAGTGAACATGTATCTTGTTGTTCAGCCAGTTAATAGGGGAAGCTAAAAATCCTTCTTTAACAACCAAAAGCTTTCTCAAAGTATTAAAATCAAAGTCTGAAACTCCCTGTAGACTGACAGTCAGGAATCACTCTGGCTTCCACAGGCATCTGAAATTGATATCTTGTTGTCTCCAGCTGGTTTTGTCCAAAATGTCTCTATTAAAAATTGATCCAAGAGACAATTTACCTTGCAATAATTAAATTTTTGTTCTTCCTCAAAAAAACCCAAGCCAAAAAACCATAAAAAACCCCACAAAACACCACCAACCCCCAGATAACCTTAATAGGATATCTGCCAGCCTGTTTGCCTTCCCCATTGGAATAATTATTGCTTTTCTAGTGATGTCTATTTAACATGGGTTATCTGGATATTTTTCTTAGCCATTAGTTTCCTGTTTGATAGAGAAGTGAATTCAGCTAGATACTGGTCTAATTAAGAGATCATTAAATAGACTAACGCCCAGCAGCTGTCAGAAGAGAACAGCTGTAACAAAAAAACATAACACTGATTAAAAGTAATAGCCTATGAACCACTTTCAGCCAAATCACGCGTATGTCTGTTTGCATAGGAGCTTAAAACTGATTTCAACAATTTCAGAAGAAAATGTCATGTAAGTGAAAGTCAGAAAGTGAATCTGCTTTTATTCTCCAATTAGTTACTATTTACCCTGTCTACCAGTGACACATAAGTAATCTTACAGTGAAAGTCCACCTGCTGCTGTGCCATTTCAGAGAACGTTAATAAAGTGGTTTTCAGAAACACTTAAACACAACTTGGATAACTTGCAAGCCACCCAGCCATTCTTTTCTTGTTCTCTCTTCTCTTAATGCTGTTCCTATTGAGCTAATATAACTCAAAAAGTCCAGAAAGATCTTTATTATGATGGCATCAAAATGTTAAGGTTTAAAAGCATGGCAAGACTATATAGACTTGCTTAACACATTGATTAGCAATCATCTGACTTACCTGTGTATGGCAGCTCCACAGATACTGGAAAGAGAGGCATAAACTCCATCCCCAAAGACATAAAATTGCCACAGAGGACAGTTTGCTGGGCAAAGGACATCTTCTGTCTCCTTTCTAAGGTCAAGTCCTCTTGTAAAGCACGTGATAGCAGTGGAAGCTAAAGAAAAAAAGAAGAACTTGTGATCTGAAAATCTTAAGGTTTTGTTTTGTGTTTTTCGTTTGTTTTGGTTTTTTATAATTTCTCCACAGTTTCCAAGCTTAAAGCAATGTTTGAATTTGAAATTAGGTACAGTGTCTCATCTTATGCTCTGGTATGTCTGTAAAGACATCTTTGGAGCTTACAAATGTACAGTTATGATAAAGAACACACTTTTAAATTACTTATGGGAAAGAAGTGACAGAAAAAGGTAGAAAGGGTAAAAAAAAAGCAAACACTAAACCAATATTAAAATAATACCTAAAGAATATTATGGGAGGAAAAGCAATTCACATCTGTAAGTTTACTGCAGAGACAAAAGGGCAAGGGGAAGGCCTCCTTGCACTGGCAAAACCCAGGAGTAGGCAACACTCTCCAAAGGAGAAATTAAATGATTCTGACATGCCCACAGTAAACTCCAGCCACAAGATATCTATTAATCTCTCCAGTGGCAGGTCGACAGCAACGTTTCCCTTAGGCAATAAAGCCCACTCAGGGCAGTGTAAAAAGAAAAGGAACACCCATCTCCTTGCTCTAGTAATATAGGAACATCTACAACATTCATATCAATTCATTACAATGAAGTTTACATCATGATCATTGTGCAAACGGACCGTCAGATTCACCCAGTGAGACAGAACTTATTTATTCAGCTGAGGCACATGCACTTTTCACACAGAACTCTGCCTTTTTTTTTTTTTCTTAAAAGTTGCTCCTCAGATTATCATCATTAAGCTTTCACTGTGCTTGCATGTGTGCAATGTAGGTATCCAGACACAGATTTACAGCAGTCACCAGTATATAATTTTGCTTAGCAAATTGATGCTTTTTCTTTTGAAAACTTAGAGGTCATTATCTTGGGTACTTAACTACCATCCTTCTGCTACACAGGACAGCACATTCAGCTGGTCTGATAGCACAGCGAATTAGAGCTTTGGCTTCGATCGACATCAATTCGGCATCATAAGTACCATGACTGGATATTTATTCTGAAATTCCTAAGAGGACATCTTGCCCTTGCTGAGCACTAGAATGTGCAAGAACCTTTTCTATATGGGCTCGGATTCTTACTTTTTCACAATATTAAGATTGGAGCTGACAGAGGCTGGCCAATGTATCTGTGCATACAATGCACTACATCCCAAGGAGAGTATGTTTCAGGGATCAGGG